GGAAGCATGAATTTTGAACTTTGAAAGGAAATTATCAAAGTTTTCTTATTTCAATGTGTTCAGTTGTCTAGCAAACTATTTGTGATATCTGCTCCTAGTATCTAGTTTAGATGCAATTTAGACAACCGAGATTTGGACTGTTTTTTACACATTAAATGGAAAGAGGTCAGTCTCCATGAGGCGAAGGCACTGATTGACAGCATTTAATTCTCAGTGACCTAAAATACAGGATGAATCTGGTATCATACTTAAAAACCAGTCTTTCTTGCTCCCTAGCGTTTCCTTTGCACCTTTATGCTTGAAGTAGAGAATTTAATTTTTTTTTAAAGTAGATATAATCTTTTAAATTGGGTGGTTTAGAATGCTATAGGCAAAAATTACGTGTGTTTATACCTCTTAGCTGTGTTCAAAACATTATCAAGTGCTTGATAATGTGTGAATTAATAGGTTCAAGTGCTTAGCCTGAGCGCTAATCTCTACACAGACACCTTTCTCCAGTTACTCCATTATATTCATTGGGCTTTCTAGGTATTAACATTTCTGAAGGAGGAAAAAGCCCTTGTAATACATTTTTAACTACAATTTTGTGGTATAAAATGCCTGAAAATTATGTTAATGAACTTTAGTGATGTTTTATACTCTTTACTTGTAGGTCTGAGAGCAGGTCATACACAGGTTGTAGCACTGTGGCAGCCAGTGGTTTGAAAGGCCGCTTTTTCATTTGAAGAGAGTATGTGCAAAAGATTGGTTTACAGACAAGGCACTTTTGCTTCTCCTACCTCTTCAGAGGTGTGCTATGGGTTGGGGTTTTACCTTCTCTGATTTTTAAAAGATGTGCGCTAGGCATTAACGTGTACAGAAAATATCCCCCAAAGTTTATGTTCAGTATGCAGGTCTAAGTTAATGCCACTTTTTAGATCACCTTTGAAGCTGTGAGCTGACTTTAATGGGGCAACCAGTAACCAAGAGCAAAAGGAGGAGTACAGGCGCGCCTTGTCCATGTGGCCTTTCTTACACAAGGCCGCTAGTATAAGAAACACACACATTGTTCAGACAATTCCCAACCTATGGAGATTGCAGAATTCGTAGAATCATTAAGTTTGGAAGAGATCTCTAAGATCATCAAGTCCAACTGTCAACCCAGCACCACCATGCCCACTAAACCATGTCCCAGAGTGCCACATGTACACATTTTTTTAATACCTCCAGGGATGGTGACTCCACCACTTCCCTGGGCAGTCTGTTTGAATGCTTGACCACTCTTTCAGGAAAGAAATTTTTCCTAATATTCAATCTAACCCTCCACTGGTGCAACTTGGTAATTTCCTCTTGTTGTATTGCTGGTTACTTGGGAGAAGAGACCAACACCCACCTTGCAACAACCTCCTTTCAGATAGCTGTAGACAGCAATAAGGTCTCCCCTCCGTTTTGTCTTCTCCGTGCTAAACAACCCTAGTTCCCTCAGCTGCTCCTCATAAGACTTGTGCTCCAGAGCCCTCTCCAGTTTCGTTGTACTTTTCTGGACCCGCTCCAGTGCCTCAATGTCCTTCTTGTAGTGGGGGCCCCAAAACTGAACACAGTGTTCAAGATGCTGTCTCACCAGTGCTGAGCACAGTGAGACAATCACTTCTCTACTCCTGCTGGCCATGCTGATAGAAGCCAGGATGCCACTGGCCTTCTTGGCCACCTGGGCACACTGCTGGCTCATGTTCAGTCGGCTGTCAACCAATGTCCCCAGGTCCTTTTCTGCCTGACAGCTCTCCAGCCACTCCTCCCCCAGCCTGTAGCGCTGCATGGGGTTGCAATTGTAAATATTGGAAACTATAAGCTTTTGACTGTGACTATGGAAAAAAAAAAGTCTCCTGTGTTTACACTGATGCCTTCTCTTCCTTGACTTTTGGGAGATGAGCATAACTTTAGTTGCCACTGCGTAGTCTGTGAGGGAGAGAGACGTGTCTTACTTTACAAAGCCAAATAATAAATGTTACTGAAGTTATGGCAGTTCCTACTTTTCTCTCCTGTTAACAAGGTTTAAATAAAAGTGCTGGTCTTGCCTGGGATTTTTACCTTGCAATGCACTAATGGATGTGTTAGAGTGAGGAGCAGAAAATACCCTCTACTCTGTTGCCTTGCCCCTCCTTGCATGGCTGTACCCAACCACCACTGATGCTTCATGAACGGGAAATTACGGCTTCCAAATCTGGCATCGTAGACATAACTGTAAAGATTAACTTTTAGGGTTGTGCCTGTGAAAGTGTCTACTTCTCCTTGCGTGTGTAAGTTTGGATAAATATTTTGCAATCTGGGAAGATTTAAGAAAATCCCAACAGGGTAAATAGCCAACTTGTAATTGGAAACAACTGGTTGGAGATTTTTGTTACTGCTTTACATTTAAAGGAAGTTAGGTGCTGTAAACTCTGTGATTTCTCTTATCCATTAAAACTCTTTTTAGGTAACTTAAGGATTTTTCTTGGGTAACTGAAACAGGCTAGTCTTCTTTAGGTAGCCAAACCATACGAAGCCTTTAAAATTCTACTGAAAAAATATCAGAGTAAATACCAGTGCAAACACACCTGCATCAGTGTAGCTTGCCTGAGAAAATTTTTAATGTTGTTATTTTTCTGATGACTACCTGTAAGGTTTCACCAGAGCGGGTCAAGCTTTCTACTCCTTCTTTCCTTTCTCTTGTTTCTTTTCTCCTGTCCTGAAGGTTTTAGCAGGGAATTTGCTAAAAACGAAGTAAATTCCAGTAATTGGCGAAGGTGATGGTTTTTCTGAAAACTGGGCAGAGGTGACTGAGGCTGCGATTCTGTCCCCAGCTGGCTCTGGTGCTTGCTACGCTCTCTGCTGAGCTGGCTTGGTGTGCTAAGCCAATAGAAATCTAACCTGACCAAAACCCATAGATAATATCAGTTAAATTGGGTAGGGCCATCACAGAATCAGAGCCTGTGTGTGTTCCAGAGGGATAGGTCTTGAATACGACTATGTGTAATTTTGTCCAAGATAATAAAGCTTATGGCTAAAGGGCAAATAAATTATAGGATTGATATGTGACTTGCTGCAAGTTCCTGATACTAAATTCCACTTATGAACAGCAGAGAATCTTTAAGTATGTGTAGGTATACACATCCATCAAATAGTTCAAGAAGGTTATCTTTCTGTACCTTTGTGAAATTTAGCTTTTAGTTTCAACTTAATACAAGTTGTTAATTATTTCCTCCTTTTTTAAATGTCTCATGACAGTGCACTCAAAATTCTGTGTCATCCTTTTATGTTAACTAGACATGGCTTTATTTGGTCAGACTAGAAGTATTGCTTTGTCCAGTATCCTGTTTCTGACAGTAAACAGTAAATTCTTACAGCCAACAGTAAATAGAAAGAAGGAGCGTTTTATGATCATTCCCCAAGACCCTTCTAAATATCTGCGGCTTAGAGACTTTTTGAGCCAGATGTGACATCCTTGAGTTTAAAAGCTCTTCATGGAGCTTGCATTTGTCCAATTATATTCTAAATCTTTAAATTTTTGGCACTCATTCCCACAAGATATTGTGGATGATAAAGTTCACTACCATGTGCGAAGAAGTGCTTTTGTGTAGTTTTTTTTTTAATCTACCCCTTAATAATGTCAACTGCTGCTGCCTAATATTTATATTTGGAAAATAGTTGTGCTTTATCTTTTCCATGTCACCTGTAATTCTGTACTTATATTTTCTGTCCCATGTGGTTGCTCTATCCAGGATGAGCAGTCCTAGTAGCGTATTTCTGGTTTTACTGTATCTTTTTTGACAGGGGGAGGCATTGCATACAACACCTACACATGTGAGTGCACTGTGGATTCATTCAACAGAATTGTATTTTTATTTTGGCTCTGTAGTTCTTTCCAAAGAATGTGTTTAATTTGCTTTATGCTAGCTATTGAGCTAGTGTTTTCACTGGGCTGCAGGACTCCATGACTGATCTTTCCTAAGATAAAGAGGTACAGGGCTAGACGCATTATTTTGCATTTACCAGTATCACTTTTCTGCTGTTCTCTTGCACAATCCCTCCAAAGTAAGAGCATTCTGCAGCTGTTACCACGATGCCGAGGACATGAGATGAGCTTGGGACTATGTTATGCTTGATACTGTGCAAAAAAGTAGAGTGCCTTGTGTTCCCAAAATGCTTTTAATCCAGGTGTGAGGGAGAGGACAGCAGATGAATACAAAGAATTGTGGCAGTATTGATAAGAAGAAATGCAGTGGTCTCCAGCAAGTTCGCATAGGCATCTTGAAATTCTGGCTGATAAGAAAGGCTAATAATACAGTATTTTTCTGAGAATTTAGCCCATCTCTCAAGGGCAAGAAGCAGCATCGAAGGAAATGTCAAGTACTTGTTTGGCAAGTTTACAAGCAGAGAACGGAGGCTGCCAACGGTGTGTCTGATGGAAGCAGGAGTTGAGCTTTCAGTGGTAAATGGGAGTGGGTAGCTTGTAATCTGGTGGAGGCAGGAAGGAAGTGAAAGCAAGCAATTTATGTTTAATGTCATGGAGCAAGAATGATGAGGGAAGCAGAGAAAGGGTGACGTGTTAGCCATAGAAATCAGCATTTGTATATGTTCAGTAGGATAAGCAAGAGGGAGTTATGCAGAGTAAGTTGTATGTGGTGGTCTGTTTGTCTGCTGTGGTGTGGTTGGGATGTGCTAAGGATAACGGGAGCTTCACATCTGTCATTTCCAGACACTAAATTGGGTAAGGAGTGAGTAGTATCCCCAGTGTGACAGGCTGTGCTGCAGAAAGGGACATCAGATTATTTTCTTCCAAGACCCAGCTGAGCACTGAAATGCTGGGGAAGCTCAAAGAGATCAGTTTCTTGTCTAAAACTCCACTTAACTTGCATCCTAGCTATGAAGACCTTACTTGACATAATACTGCCAAAATAATAATGACAAAAACTGTGGTTTTGTTAGTTTACTAGCTGGCATCTTAAAACCAGGAAAAATTACATTTTTATGTACTCTTCTAGTTCTAGGTCAAATGATTAGTTCTGTGACAAGACAGCATGACACTTTGAAGTATGACAGAAGCCCTGATGCTGCAGCAGAGGCTGGGAATATTAATGGCCAGATCTAGGTGAGTGATTTTTAATTTAGCCACTTCCCTAGCTGTTTCACTTCTTCCTCAGAGCCTTGGTTCACATCTCTCCTTTGAAGCAGCATTGTAGTTCTTGGTTTTCTCAAGTATTAATGTTAGAATTGGAGACAAAATAACAAGGTTGTGTGATTATTGATTACATACCCTTTGTCATCCTTGAGATGCAGTGGCTGTATTTCATACAACTTCATATACTACATTTTTTTACTTGCAACTCTAGTGATTTTTCCCAAACTGCTTTGCAGTTAAGTTTTTTTTAAATTGCTTTTTAAATTTGCTGACACCTGCCTCCAACAGATTTAATCAGTTATTTTATGCTGAATGCAAAGAAAGTCAATACTGTAACGGCATGCTGCTATCTAGTTCTGTTTCCACTTTGTCAGGTCTAAGACTGGGCTTTATTTAAGTGCAAGCATCTGTGTCTGAAGGCTGCTAGAAGCATCTGCAGCTGTGACTGCTGTATGGACCAGAACTTGAAAACCTTTGCTGCAAATGTATATATTCATTGTTAATCTGCATTGCAGCTATTTTCACACATTGGTCTTTTTAGCAATGAATTCTCAGAATAAATAGGGTAGCATCAGCAGGCTAACAAGACCAACATGTGAACACTGCTGTAGTGAGGTACTGTGGGGTGCCAGTGTAGGAGATTAGCAGTAGGTGTTGATACTTGTTATCTCCTTTTCTAAAGAAAACAGACAGAATTCATAAGCAAAGAAAATGAATAGTTAAAATGCCAATGGGATGTATGTGTGAAGACTATTAAAAGTACTCTGTCATTGAGAGATTGATGGGACTGATTAATAAAATTCAAGGCTTCTCTTTATGCAAAAAACCCAGTTATGCGTAGCATAGTTTATCTCTGCAACAGTAGAAGCAACCAACCAACCAACCTCCCAGTTCCAGGTTGAGTTGGGAAAAAACCTTTTGTCAAATTAACGCATGTTTCAGGTTCTAGCCAGAAATGGCGTTAGAGAATCCATGATTGTGACTCTGTGTCTGGTGCTCTGCCTCTTTGTCGCTGGATTAATCCAAGCCATGTTGTTACCCTTTCCGTTAAGTTTTCCATTTCACCTCTGCAAGGGTTTGGTGGCAAATGTATATAAATTTATACAGTCTTTAGGGCAGCAGTATCTCTTTTGAGTGGCTTTTCTAGTCAAGAAGAGGGGAAGAGTTAGCTGCTCTTCACTGTATTCCTTGCACCTTATTTCTCAGCAGACTAAAGTGCTCCTTGGGTACTACTGCTGCATGCTAATACAAATGCCTGTCCAGAAAGCAAGTCCTGGTTTTCTTAAGATGACATCTTGATTTTGTTTTTTTCCCCTTTAATCAGGAAAAGTTATCAACCAGTTCTGTCTTCCTTCTTGATTTTTAATGTCGTATCTCTTGTTGACTTACTAACCACCCCTCCAGGATTTTGCTCCTGTGTTCACTTGTATAGTGTAAATTTTACTACTTATCCAATATAAAGGTCATGGAAATGGGTTAAGTTTTCTTTTGTCTGACTTTCTTGTGTTTAAGAATTACAAGATTTACCACCCGCTCCAAGGTAGTAGAGGAGGAGAAGCAAGTAGTGAGACTTGGTTTTAGGAACATTTTATCATACTGTTTTATGAAAGTTTTGCCATAAATACAAAAATATTTAAATGAAAATATAAAAAATTACAAATATTTCTTTTTTTGTTTCCTTACTTTAACCATGTTGTTCTGACTTAGTTGAATATTTTACTGTTTCATAGTAAATGAAGTAGACTCTAACACAATTTAAACCAAGGGGAACTTAATAGAAATAAAACCCCAAGTTTTAAAATATTTGTGTTGAATGTGGGGTTTTTGGTTTTTTTCCTTCCCTTGACTTCGATTGCACAGTTTTATGTACAGTGCTATATGGGAAGTATTTAAAAGTGGAAGCACAGAGCTTGACTGCGCTGCTGCCAGCACAGGGCTGCCTGCAGGCCTGGAAAGCCTCCAGCTCCTATTGCGAGCCAGCCCTGGAGCTCCCCAAGCTAGGGCGGCCTTTCAGGATTGCCATGTGGGCTCTTTGTGCAGCCCAGGGCTTGCGTGAGCGTCACCAGGGCTGTGCTCAGCAGTCTAAGCTCATTTAGACAAAGTGGAGTCCAGGTAGTTGCCTTGTGTAGAGGCCCTGCTTTAGGAGATGAGAGTTGCGCCCGGTAAGCTGTTGGTTTTTGTTTTTCCCCAAGCTGCTGCCATGGGAATTACAGTTAACAATCAAATGGTTCTGTTTGGTAGTAACCTCAAGTTGAATTATTGGTAGGGCTTGAACAGCTCGGTGTTGCCACTCCTTAATGCCAAATCTAACTTAACTATTTAAGTCTTTGTAATAGTTATGTTGATTTTTTTTTAATTGCTTATAACTGCAAAGTTCATCATGAAGAACTGTAATTTCAGAGAGCAATTTGTGTTGGGTTGTTTTGTTGATGATACTCTTTTACTTCTTACTAAATGATAACTTTTTTCTTTTCTTTTTTTTTTCCCCCTTTAGAGATCACATGGTCTTCTAAAGAAGTCATGGGTAGCTGTTGTAGCTGTCCAGATAAAGAAACTGTCCCAGATAACCATCGAAACAAGTTTAAGGTAAGCAACTGATGTGACATGCTGTGAATTCTTTTGTTGCTTGCTTGCAGAGTAGGTCTGTGATGGAAAAGAAATTAAATGAAAACAAGGTGAGAATTACTGAACGGTTAAAACATTGCAGACTTGCAGGTGTCTGTGGCTACAGGTTTCTCTTGACCTTTTGAGAAATCCTCTGTTACCATCAGCGACAGGAATTCTCTATGTCTAGGCTTTTTTATGACAGTTTTGATCTTCAGGAAGGAGAAGCAGCCCTGTGTGTTTGATCCGTCTCTGTTTCAGTTGTTAGGGCCCAAGTAAGTGTTGTTACCTCTCGGGGACTATGGAAGTTAGGAAAGGAGTAGTAAGAAAAGGGAAGAGCTTTTGGAGAAGAATGATTATGAACCTGGATGTGGGATCAGCAATGGAAAATTTCAGGACTGCTGATTTTACTTGAAGAAACACTACTGATTATTGCATTTTGAGAACTTTTGTCCTTTACTTGAAAAAATCTTATTTATAAATGTTATATATATAAAATATTCCTGGAATTTATAAGCTTGTGAACACTTGTTCATGTGCTTAACATGAAGCTGCTGAAGTCAGTGACTAAGTAAACATACCTTTGCATAGTCGCACAACTCAGATTTGCTTCTGTGCTCCAAACTGTCTCTGTGAGTTGGCAAAGGAATGTAATGCTTCCATAGAGAAAAATGATTTGTGTGTTGCCTTAGGCCAACACTGAAATGAGCTTTAAAGCCATGGGAATTTCTGGAAATGTTTAATATTATCAGTACAAAAAGCTGAAGGATAAAATATTTTTCTGTTTTCTCGCTTATTATGCATTTGACATCACTTTGTGTAACCAGATCCTATTTTTCTCCTTGTAGAATTTCTCTATTGTTTGTGTGGGTTGCTGATTTAGCAGCAGGGGGGAGAAGATGAAAGAATGTAATTTTCAAAATTAAGAAAGTTGGCATAAGCCTCAGCGGCAGATGAAATTATTCCTAAGTCTTTTCAGTTGACTGGATTTCAAGTTGAAAATGTCTCTATAAGGAGTAACATTAATTGATCTCATAGGGAAGATTTTTTGGTAGCCTTTTTGAGTAAGAGAAAATCCTACTAAAAACAGTATTGTGAAGTAGGATTCATGCAAAGGAAAATATACATTGTCCGAATTCCATAAAGGACGCAGATGACCTTCAACTCGTTCAAAAGCAGAAAGAATAAGTGTTTAAGCTTTATACGCACGTTTTCATGCAAGATAACCATGGGGTATTTGAATAACTTGTTGACTTTAAAAAGGCAGGGAAAAAAAAAATCTAAAGCAGTCTGGTGATTCAGCACAGTGCAAGGCTATACAGGCATGTGAAGGAAGCTTTATCTTGGAGCCCCTTATCCTTTTTCATTCCTTTTCCCAACCGTAAGTGGGGTTATATGACAAAGCAAATACATTTTTTTAGAAACGGGGCTCTGAAAGATTCCATTAACTGAGGTATGCCTTATCCATGTGGAAGTACTGGAAAATGTACAGAAAGCCAGTTTAAAAAAAAAAACAACAAAGCCCAACAACTTATGACTCTCTTCTGTTTTAAATTTCTCCTCAGATTTTACTGTAATGTCATGCAGTCTCATTCATATTGCTTTTAAACATGCATTATTTTAATTCTGGGTTGGGGGAGCAAAGGAACTGGTTTGGTGAGGTTTTTTTAAAACTTTTACCTTAAGGATCATAATCTGTCATGACAAAGCAGATGGAAGATATCAGTGAAACATTAAGATTACTAGTAGTGGTATTGGTGCTCAGAAGAGTACTTACCTAATGCTATTTAACTTCCTTTTTATAGGTTATTAATGTGGATGATGATGGTAATGAACTGGGTTCTGGCATAATGGAACTTACAGATACAGAACTAATTTTGTACACCCGTAAAAGGGATTCTGTAAAATGGCACTACCTCTGTCTCCGTCGCTATGGCTATGATTCAAATCTTTTCTCTTTTGAAAGTGGCCGAAGGTGTCAAACTGGACAAGGTATGTGGAATTCTTGTATGTAAAGATTTTTGGAGATTTATTTGATGTTGGAAGACAATTTTATTCTTTTTTTTTTTGTTGTTATAAAAAGTTATATTTGCCTGTCCTTTGGCAAGGGTTATAAAGGCTATAGTTTTCTTTGTGAATGTGGTTTCTGGGAAACAAGTAAGTTACCTTATGAGGAATGGTCTTATGGTAAAATGAGGATTTGATTTGCTCATAGTATTTGATGTTGTAGGTCTGGAGCATTTCATGTTTGTATGTGTGGATACTTCTGGTCAACTTAGGAGGTGGTTTTGACAGGGAAGCTCTCCTACCTCAGAAGTTGACTTGACTTTGAGGGCAGGGCAGTGAAACCTGGAACTGTGGAGGAATCTCCTCAGAATTCAAAGAATTCTTTATTTTTAGGTGGGTTTTTTTAAGATTGGAGCACTGGTATGAACTGGATATCCCTACCCTGTTGCTGTCTTCAGTAACACACTTGTTTCACCCTCTTCCTAAAACAAACACCACTTTCATTTGTATCAATGACACCATTCTCAAATTTTGACACATTTTTGTATTAAGTGTGTAAACTCCAGCTATGCTCATTTATTTTCTGTGTGGCTGGAGAAAGATAGGTACCTTTCCAGTTCCCAGATCATGCCTGCCTTGGCCAAGGTTGGCTCCCAGTGAGAAGATGAGGGCTTTTCTCTCTTACTACACTGCAGCAGTCCCTGAGGGAACAGCTGCTTTTGTGGAGGTCTCAGCCTCATTTTCCATCTTGCTACCATGATGTGGCTGTTGGAATTCATATGCATTTATGCATTGTGAAATTAAGTAGCATTTTTATTTTCTTACAGATTTTTAGCATTATTAGTGTTTTTGTTGATACCTGTATTTAGCAATTGCAATTCCTTTTTTTGTTAACTTCACTGTAAAAAATCAGGAAGATGAAAGAACTTGATTGTAAACAAAGCTGATCAATCTTCATTGTCCAAGCAGAGGTAAAGGCAGACAGGATTTCTTGATAAGAGTTTAGAAGGCATTCTCAGTTCATCTCCCAATGAAAATACAGATGTTTTAAAATGTTCCAGCGTAGGCCACACTAAACTACATTTTCAGACTTCTAAAAAGAAAATAATAAACTTTGTTTTGAAAAAAATCACTTTAATCGATTTTTGCAGGTTTAATTTACTGGTTATTCTAAATATGTAAAATAGATACTAATAAAATTTAATTGAAAAGACTATTTTGAAGGTTCTTCTCCATGGCCTATTAGCAAGCCTGCCAAATTTTCCATCCAGTCTAATGGACTTCTCTGCTTCCCTCCTAGTTTCTTTTTTTTAATAGAGAAGATTAAGCAGGCTGTGTGAGCAGCAACCCTTTCCTCCCTCTTTTGTTTCTTGCCTTTCTTACATAATATTAAAATACTGTGAATATTGGGAAAAAGGATATCTGGCAGAAAATGTGCTCTCTGCTGCCGTTTTGCAATGGAGCATTGTTCCAGGGGCCTACACTGGGTTTTGTGGGCACAGTTGCAAAACTTCATCTTCACTTGGTGAGATGATAGAGTCATTTTTCAGTTGAGAATACCCTGAATACTGGCCATCAGCTTCTACTGATTGCATTACTCAATATTCTTCTTTGTGTTTTCTGTTTAATCTCAAATTATATGGCAAAACATTGATTTTGTGCTAGGTATTAAAAACCTTGAAGACATGTTTTGGGAGCACAGCTAATAGATAATTCAGAACAGAAAACTTGGAGGAGCTGGTGTGTCACCATATTGTGTGACAGATCACATTGTATTTAATGTGGTAATTAATAAAAACCAAGGTTTCATCAAGTTGTTTTTGCTTGCAGTTTCAGTGCCAGTTTGGTTCACCTCATGTATTAAGGGATCAGCAATTTGGAAGCACTTTTTTTAAACAAAAGGGTAAAGGCAGCTGAATTTCTCAGGAACGTACTGGGAGCTTTTTAACGCTTGTGAACCTAGATTTTTTAAATTTTCTTTTTTTGTTCATTAAGATTTAAGTATCCAGTGTGAATTTTCAGAAATATACATAAAATTAAACATGGACTATTGTACTTGAGCTGGATCATGGGTTGGGGAAATGTAGTAGAAGCAGCTCTACAGCTGCTCTGTTGCAAGCATGAAGCTTACTCACTGCACCCACTGAATATTAATTGTCGAGTGTTGTTCCTCTTAGCCCATTTGTTACATTCCCAGCTGGATTTTTGTGAACTTCTGCCACGGGGAGCATTTCTGGTAGCTCTGATATGTCACAGTTCTGCATCCTTAATAAAAATATATGATGATAGTAATTGCCGGCATATTAACGTAATTGCACTTACAGAACTAGCTATATAGGTAGGTAGTTTGTAGTAAAGAGTGTTTTAAGATTGTAATACTCATTTTAAAAAACAAGCACCTGCACCCCCGTTTAACAAGCATGTCAATTTAACTTCATGCTTTCAATGGAAGAATAACCCAAAGCTGCGACTTTGCTGGTGAGGGTAAGTAGGGGCGCTCCCTGCTGTTTAACGGCAAAGTGGCACAATACGCACACAAAATACATGGTATTGCTGCTAACTTTGTGTTCTGTGTCTATCCTTTAGCCTAAAGCAATTGCTTTGTTACTGTCTGTTTCACACAGTTTGTCTTACTAGCTTTTCATTTTAATCTTCTTAAAGAAACTAAACTTTTACCCAGTGTTTAAATCTTTCTTTCCTGTTGTGCAGGTGTCTTATTTTTTGGTAATGTAATAGAAATGTAGTTTAACAAATATGACTTCGTAGTGTCACAGTAGTTTAACTTTTTTTTTTTAATTTATGTATTTACCAGGTATCCTTTTTATCAGCTTAAAAAAAAAGAAAGAAAAAAAATCGTGACCTATTTTGTGGTTTGGTTTTGTTTGGGCTTTTTTACCCCTCATTTAGCACTCAAAACTTAGTTTTGTTTTTAACTGAATCAGTTTTCTGTTCTAATTTAACTTTTGGTGCATGGAGATCTTATTCTTCTATTAGATAAACACTTTAAAGGTTCTCACAGTAATTTTGTGTGTTTTGGTGCAATAAAAATTTCTAACATTTTTGCTGCTTTAACAGGTATTCGTTACGTGGATTCCAGATCTATCTTTTTGAAAGTTCTGTACATTGTAAGGCATGTTTCTTACATTAAAGGATTTTGATTTTTTTCTGGTGTGTTTATAGGAATCTTTGCCTTTAAATGTGCCCGTGCAGAAGAGCTATTTAATATGTTGCAAGAGATAATGCAGAATAATAGCATAAATGTGGTAGAAGAACCCGTCATAGAAAGGAATAACCATCAAACTGAGTTAGAAGCTCCAAGAACCCCTCGAACGCCTACCAGTAAGTATGGTTATACTGTCAGATGACATACCTGAATGTAATGTGGTACTTAGCTGTAAATAGCACTTAATTTGCCTTACATCTATAAGTAATTAAAAAGAAAACTACTAGAAAGCTAAGCGGCTAATTACCAGTAGTGCACTCTCTTGAGGTACTTGCTGAGGATTCTCTTTCAAGAATCCTAACTCCTGGGAGCAAAGCTGCTGTAGTCAAGTTCTTCAGCTTTAAGAAATCAGTTTTGGTAACTTAGTTATTGTATAAGAACACTGCTAAATACGCCCGTTGAATTGCTTTATAGTATATCACCATATTTTACTTGTAACATTTCTGAGAAATATTAATGTTGGGCAATGTTCCAACCTTTTTATTACGGAAAAAGATAATGGTAATATCACATCTACAGCGGGTTTGGAATCTTCTGCTGTTAGCAGATGGATGGGCAGAGTGAAGTCCTTTCAAAACTACCAGAGGATTTTAGGTAATCTTGGGGAGATAGCTTGACATCTGAAATTAGGATTTCAGGTTATTGATGAATTCAGATAAATGGAAGCTTAAGTAAATAAATCCCTGTGTGTTACGGAGATACGTTGTTAATGATAGAAGAAGAAGTTGGATAGAGAGTTTACTGGCAGACTGTGTTGTATAATACGGCTATATTTCAGTGGTTGCTTCAGGCATGTTTCCCAGTAAATACTGGGATGCTATACTCTGCAGTTTGCTTTCCCTTTCCTTCCCCCCAGCGAAATTGTCTTGTGAATATTTAATACTGCTTTACATATTTTTCTCTTTTGAAAGTAAAAAGTGAAAATATAAAGCATCTTAGTCATATACAGTAAAATGTTCTATTCTAATATGGTTTTGCTTGTTTTCTAATTGAATCAGCTCCAGGGTTCAATGCACAAAGTTTACCCAACGGCTATCCCAGATACCCGTCTTTTGGAGATGCTTCATCACATCCTTCTAGCAGACATCCTTCTGTCGGAAGTGCACGCCTCCCCTCTGTTGGTGAAGAATCAACACATCCTCTACTTGTAGCAGAGGAGCAAGTGGGTATTTCCTCCCCTCCTATAACTTAGGTTCTGCATTAGTACAGATTTTTCTGATGTTTACTCTGTAGGCTTTCATTTGTGTTTCCCAGTATCAAGTGTAATATATTTCTACTGTATGTTAACTACCTCAGAAAAGTGTTTGCTTTACTTCTTTAAAATGATACCTTGTAGGAAAGCTTGCTGAGGAAGAGTAACTATTTAAAGTTGCTCTTCATATTTATATACAAATGAAGACATACATAGAAAATACGTATTTGCATATACTCTTTTCAAAAGTTTCATTAGTTATTTTTAAACACATAAATTGTAGTTTATAATGAGAGTTCCTGGTCAAAAAGCTTACTTACATGCAAGTCTTCTATTTGACAAATAGTAATCATGGAATAATGTAGATTAGAAGAGACCTCTAGAGGCCTCTAGGTCAAATTTTAAGGTTAAAGGGGGCTGCACAGAGCCTCGTCCTGTCATGCTTTGAATACTCCAAACAAGGAAGTGTCTTTGAGCCATGAGTTGCAGTGTTTGACCAGCTTTGTTCTGAAATCATTTTTTCCCTAATATGTAATCAGATTTTTTTTCCTGTTACAGCTGGTGTCTCTTTCCCCTTAGCCTTTTGCTGAACATGTCAAAAAGGGGTCTGGCTTTGTCTCTTCTTTATCTGTTAGATAGTTGAAAACAGCTATTAGGTTGTTTCCTGGCCTTCTCTTAAGACTGAACAAGTGTGGCTCTCTTGGCTTGTCTTTGTATGTCACACTCCACTCTAATCATGGCCCTCCACTGGATTCGTTCTGCTGTAGTGGTATCTGTTGTACTGAGAAGCCCGTTACTCCAGATTCAGTCTCACAAGTGCTGAATTGATGGTAATAATTGCTTTCCTTAACCTTCTGGCTGTGCACGTTTGGTTTTCATTGCTGCAAGGGCTCACTGCAGACTCATATTCACCTCACCATCCACCTGGACCCCTGATGCTTTTCTGCAAGGCTGTTTTCAAAGCAGTTGGTGCGCAGCCTGTGCTGTTGGTGTTGTCCCATGTCAGGCACTGGACTTTGCATTTGCTGTTGCTGAACTTCATGAGGTTTCTGTGAGGTCACTTCTGAAGGCTGCTGAGATCCTTCCCAGTGGAAACCCTACCAAACTGGGAATGAACACACCCTCTGGAAGTTTTCAGTCTATCATTCAGGTTGCTAATGAAAATGTTAGTCAAGTTTAATAAAATACAGTGTGGTTTAGGAAGACTCTCATGTGTGACAAGAATCAATGCTGAAAATCAGAGATGGTAACCAGAGCAAAGTGCAGTGAACTGTCTCGTGGGAAGGGATTTATTAAGAGCCCCCACAGAAGAGTCCAAGTGTTATTGTTGGAGTTGTGGAAGAGTAAGTGGGTAAAAAGAATCAGTGTAGGAGTCAAGTGAGCTGTAAATAACACTTCAGCTTGTAAAGCATGATAGAGAAGTTGGGAAGGATAGATGCCTGTCGCTGTAAAATACTACTTTTGCTGTTTGGGTATCCAGACAGAATTAAAATTTAGAGGAGGAATCCGTTACTCCAGTCTTTCCTGTTCAGCCTTGTGTTGATCCACTGTGGGAACTTGGAAGGATAAACTAGTGGTGTATTCCTGCCTTTCTTAGTGGCATCTGGTGCCAATTCCTGGTCCTTTTTAATTCGGAGTGCCACAGTTCATATGGAATTGTATCTTTTTCTACTTCAGTTTCTGTATCAGGAGGCTGTTTGCTCTTAGAGAAAGTATGGACTGTTCTTCCTGTGGAGCCAAGCTCTCTTCTTATTGCTTGAGTAGTACTCAAGGCAAGATCCTGGGGGGGTGTAGGTATTTTAAAAAAAATATTATTTTAGTGGACAGTAAATTTCCTTTGCAGTGTGGAAATTACAAAGATAAATTTAGCCAAAGCAATTACTGAACTGTTGGTCATTGTCATGGTAAAGGACAACAAAGTCGAACTCTGCTTCAATTATTTGTCTAAGTGAATTAATGAGCTATGTTTGGAGCAGCCCAAGGTTACCTTGATTATTTAAGGTTATTCACAGCAGAGCTGGAATGGAACCTGAAATACTGTAACTAGAGCACAACTGAGATGAAACATCAAATCAAAATAATTCTTAATGTAGGATGTAAATTCTGTTATCTTGTTAAAGTAACATTAACAAAATGAACAACATAATTTCACGGGGGAAAAAAAGTCAAAAACTGATCAAAATGTGAGAGAGATGATCTTTGCTCTTCAACAGCTTCTGTCATGAGATTTGGGTTTTGGGTATTTTGATTAGAAAAGTGGGGAGTTGACAAAGAAATTTGGAGGAGGAAAAAAAGCACAAACTATTTGAATTTCTTTTTTTTCCTTCCCCTTTTAGGTGCACACTTACGTCAACACTACTGGGGTACAAGAAGAAAGAAAGAATCGATCGAGTGTGCATGCGCCACTGGAATCGAAGCTTTCAAACCCTGAAACAGCTAAAGTGAAAGAAGATCAGATGTGTACTGATGACAGAGATGCGCAGGTTCTCCTGGAGCCTGAAGGAGTCAAGTTTGTTTTAGGACCAACACCTGTTCAAAGGCAGTTAATGGAAAGAGAGAAACTGGAGCAACTTGGGAGAGACCAAGTTAGCGGCAGCAGCACAAACAACACTGAATGGGACACTGGGTACGACAGTGATGAACGTAGAGAAACGCCATCTGGTAATAAATTGGTGTATGAAAATATAAATAGGTTATCAATCCCTAGTGCCTCAGGGGTCAGGAGAGGTCGTTTGACATCAACCGGTACCTCAGACACCCAGAACATTAACAACTCTGCTCAGAGGAGAACTGCGCTGTTGAACTATGAGAACTTGCCATCCTTGCCTCCTGTCTGGGAAGCCCGCAAGCTGAGTAGAGACGAAGATGACAGTTTAGGACCAAAGACCCCATCTCTGAATGGCTACCACAATAACCTAGATCCGATGCATAATTATGTCAATACAGAGAATGTAACAGTACCAGCAAGTGCTCATAAAGTAGAATTTACACGACGTCGGGACTGTACCCCAACAGTCTTTAACTTTGACATAAGGCGTCCGAGTTTAGAACACAGGCAGCTCAACTACATACAGGTTGACTTGGAAGCTGGTAGTGACTCCGACAACCCTCAGACTCCAAAAACCCCCACCACTCCACTTCCGCAAACTCCAACCCGGCGCACAGAGCTGTATGCTGTGATAGACATTGAAAGAACTGCTGCTATGTCGAGCTTGCAAAAAGCACTGCCCCGAGATGACGGTACTTCTAGGAAAACTAGACATAACAGTACTGACCTGCCTATGTGAGCCTGGGAAGCGTTAAATCATTTGCACCTTTTGTGAAGTTTATAAAATTGAAGATGCAAGTACCTTGCATTTCTGAACACTAACACCTTTTATAGACTAATAGAACTTTTTCTGCATACTTCATGTACTTGTCTAACTAAAGGGAATTAACGTAGAGCAAGTATTCATTTAGGTAACACTATTCTACAGTAGTAGTAATTACTGCATAGCAGCATCACCACCTTTTCACAGTGCCTCTTTAAATTGATTAGAGTCTGAGTGACATGCCAGGTTTGAATTTATAAATATTCTGTTCTGGTGCCTATACTCATTAATGGCATTTATAGTATTTTTTAAAGCCTCTTGATATGTGCATTATTAGCAGGTAAACCTAATCTTTCAAGATACATATCTTATGTTCATTCCTCATTGACGTGGTTCCTCCAGAATGAAATGTATGTAATGCATTAATTCACTCAGTCTGACATACACAAGATATCTTGGTTCATCTCAAGGGATATAAACACCACACCTTTTTTTTTGTCTGGGTTTTGGTTTGGTTTTTTTTTTTTTTTTCTTTTTTCTTAAGACTACATGGGCCAGAAGGCCTCTAATTCCCAATAGATTTCTTGTGTGATGTTTGAGAGGTCACATCAAAGGTTGTTGACCAGAGCTCTAAATGCATCTAAGCCCAGCCTTAAGCTCCTTCCACTGGAAGAGAATTCCGAGTGGCGTTATCAAGTTCCCTGTGAAATCTGACAGTTTTAATCTAATTGGAGTTTTGGGGGTGGTTTTTTGTGAAGGAATTCACAGATTGGCTGTATGAATTAAGGCTCTCTTGTCATTTCTTAGTTCAGTGTGCTTTCCTTTCTTTGCATTTGTGTGTTTCTTTTTCACCTGTTCCATAATGTCCTGTTTTAAAAGTCAAAATTTTGTACATAGCTTTAATTATTGTTCAGGGTCATTGTCGTGTTTGTCTTACTCTCTGCATTTGACAAAGAAAGACTCTTCGAGGTCAAATGGTTGTCTTTGTCCAGTGTTCTACTCTTTAATGCCTGACTGAAATATCCCAGCTCTCCAGCAGCATGCAGTATTGCACAACTGGAAAGGTTTATTATGCAGTTATTGTCTTCCTCTAAAGCATCAGACGCAGGTTACACGGGAGGCAGGGTACTGGACTTGATAGTTCTTTATAGAAAAATGTACATTCTAGCAATGTACATCCATAGTTGATAGTATACTTTAATTTAGAAAGATACGTAGTAAATTATCTGCAGGTGGTATTATCTACGAGCATACTTATTTTCCTTTTGCGGTTGGTGAGCTTGGTTACTGTGATGGCTGCTCAGTGTTACTGGTACATCCAGGTAGAATGTTGTCTGTTGAATATGCCAATATGCCAGATGCACCCTTAGCAGGTTATTTTGTTTTATGTTTTAATACTCTGAATGACTTTAGACTTCTGGCAGTATTGCAGGTGCACCTTGGTACTAGCAGCAGAAGAGATTACTCTTGAGCCTGTGATTGCAAAGGAACCTGACGCTTGTGTGAACTAGTGTGATGTAAAATAACCCTTGAACTGTGAGTGAGCAAAAACATAAAAGAAAAGCCATTTGGAGATCTGAAAAGAATTAAGGTTCTCCATGCAATATTTGAATTGAAGTTTTATAAAAAACAAATGACAACTGTTTTCATTCTTTTAAATTGGAGTGTGTTCCTGTTCCTTTGTTATTTTTTTTTATCTGGTCTTCTCTCAGCTTAGTAGTGGCAGAAGTAGTAGCACCTGCAGTATGTGTCTTGTCACACCATTAGGGGATGTCAGGCAACCTTTTCACTCTGACTTCCGTTATTCTTTACAGACTGTACGGTACAGAAATACCGGATGCACAAAGAAGATAATTTTCAGGAGTAAAAGATGGTGGTCTTTAAGACCATTGTGAGGAACTTAAATGAAATAAAACAAAAACACATTAATGATTTCATGGTCAGCCTACACACACTCTTGTGATAGACTCATTGACTTGTGGGGAGACTTTGGTACTCAGAAGGTAATGACAACCTAGAGCTGGACATTGTGCAGGTCTGCAGCGTTAGCGCTCCTTCACATCTTTGCCATTGCGTCACCTTATGCTATGGACCAGTCTTGGTCTGTACAGAAGAGAAATTACCAGGGATTGCACAATACTTACTCTTGTGATACTGGTGTGATTCTTGTTCTTAGCTCCTATTTGTAATGTTTCAGCATGTGTTTTGAGACAAATACATTTGATCTAGCTACCTGCCTAGAAATATTTGGTCCTCATCTGTGTAGTATGGGTGTTTCAGAAACACTAATGAATTGGACCCTTAAAACACACCTGTGAGGCAGGGAGCAATATTCTTAATGGCCAAAGAGGGAAACAGAGGCTTCAGGTGGATCCTAAGTGACCTGCTGAAATTACAACAACCAACCATATCCCTCCTTAGTCCCAGTGCATTCTCATAGAATCACAGAATGGTTTGGGTTTTAAGGGACCTTAAAGGTCATCCAATCCAACCCTTGCCACAGGCAGGGACACCTCTCACCAGACCAGGTTGCCCAAAGCCCTGCCTAACCTGGCCTGAGCCTGAACACTGCCAGAGAGGGGACATCCACAGCTTCTCTGGGCAACCTGTGCCAGTGTCTCACCACCCTCACAGTAAAGAATTTCCTCCTCATATCTAGTCTGAATCTTCCCTCTTCCAGTTTCAAACCACTCCCCCTCGTTCTGTTGCTACCTGCCCTTGTAAAAAGTTCCTCCCCAGCTTTCCTGCAGGACTCCTTCAGGAACTGGAAGGCTGCAATAAGGTCCCCCCGGAGCCTTCTCTTCTCCAGGCTGAACAGCCCCAGCTCTCTCAGTCAGTCCTTGTAGGGAAGGTGCTGCAGCTCTGTGATCATCTTCGTGGCTCTCCTATGGACCCGCTCCAACAGCTCTATGTCCTTATGCTGGGGGCCCCAGAACTGGATGCAGTACTCCAGGTGGGACCTCACGAGAGCAGAGTAGAGGGGCAGAATCACCTCCCCTGTCCTGCTGGCCGTGCTTCTTTTGATGCAGCCCGGGATGCAGGTAGCCTTCTGGGCTGCAAGTGCAGACTGCTGGCTCATGTTGAGTTTTTCATCAGCCAACACCCCCAAGTCCTCCTTGGGACTGCTCTCAAGCCATTCTCCGCCCAGCCTGTATTTGTGCTTGGGATTGCCCCTACCCAGGTGCAGGACCTTGCACTTGGCGTTGTTGAGCTTCCTTTGTGCTTATCCTGAATGATCTCAGATACAAGGGAGGGCCTGAGTAATTTTTTTATGCTGTTGCAAGTTTCACAGTATTTCATAGGGGCTGTTTTCTTAGCTCAGATCCCCAGAATTGAAAACACTGAAATTTCAACTTCCTGTAGCCTTAATTCCATTAACAAGTCTGATGACACTTTCCAGGACTATTTTTTGACTCTCTTACGTTTTACAGGTGGGAGAATGCATTCTCGTTTTGTGTACGCTGCAGACATACTGGGTAGTCCCTGCTACCTGTGCTACTCTTCTTTAGCATTCCTTATTTTCTGCCCTTTGAAGTAGATGTAGTTGCAATGCACTTTACCCTTTGAGACTTGGTAAATAATTTTTCAGTTCAGTCTCTTTTAAAGGCTGTGATGTTAGTTTAGTGTCTGTAATCTAGGATTCAGTTTTCAGCTGAAATCTCTCTGCAGTATTTAGATCATATTTATTTTGGGCCCACAGGTGTACAGACTGAGAAACTACCAATAGTGACCGTTTTCTTTAGTAACTGAGACATGTTAACATAAACTAGGTCCTGCAGAAATGGCAGCATCTCCATCAGTTCTTCTTTTTATTCATAACATGCAGTTGGCTGCTACCCTTCAAGCACATTTGGAAGGGAAAGTCTTTAACTGTAGGTATTCCTTTCACGCTGTGATTTGGGAAAGACGTACATTAGTGTATCTTTGAAACAAGGAAACTGAGTTGATAAAAAAGATGAAACAGTGACCAAAAGTCCATAATAAAGATTGTACTAGAAATACAGTTAGTGAGAATTTAATCCACTGATGATATCAGGGAAAATATCTTTTTTCTCAAATTGATGTCAAGAGGAGGACCAATATTTTTAAATTTTGTGGAGTTTCTGGATGACTCCATAAAACAATATCAAAAGACCATTCCAAAAACCTTAACTCTCATTAGAACACTTTGTTTTCCCCAGTAAGTACGTTTTGCATATGACAGGGACTGAATGCAATGGTGTGCGCTGAAGCACTATTCCTCTTCCTATTAATGTCTACAGAACTTTCGTAGAAATCTTAAGTGCTCAAATAGACATTTCATATAATAAACTGCTTAATTACTCTGCCCCCGATGTTTGAATATTTGTGTGTGTGTTTACACCTCTGACGAGGGTGTAAAAAGGGCGACAGAAAGGTGTAAGCTGTACGAAGTCCAAACCAGTGTCAAACCAGGGCTGCTCTTTGCAGGTGACAGACCAGCAGGTGATTTTGCTGGGTTTTTAATAGTGTGTCTTGGCTCAAAGCCTGGCTGCCCTTGTTTTTGTTTTATATTTAACCACTTCTCAATGAGACAGAATCAGGAGAGAGGAGATTGTTCACTGTCGGTGAAGTAAAAATGCAAGTTCTGACCGATATCAGTTACTACTTTGAGCATATAATGATGTATCTGGTTTGGACCTCTATTTCTAAGCAGTATTCTCTTCGTGTAAGGTGGGATCAGTGGTGAAATTCCATTTCTGCACTATATTAACTTATTTAATGGCTGCAAATAAGAGAAAACTGATTTAGTAGGAACTAATAGTGGACTTGAATCTGAAAATCTGTTTCCCCTAAAGAAGTTTGGTCCTTCAGTTTTATAGATAGAATTAGGTATTCTTGCAATTTAGTGATCTTTCCCATCTTTTCCTTGAGGTAGCAATTCAGGCATTTATATTTGACAGTATTTACTTAATATAAACATAAGTTCATTTATGATACCTTTATTTTAAATCATATACACTCCAAGAACGAATCCAGAAGAAATTCCACCACAAAAAACTGCGTTAAGATGGAGTCAGGGTTGCTGATGTCCTTCTTGCAGAGCATATATGAAAAAGATAGGAAGTCATGAGTTAAGGTTCTTTTGCAGTCTTTAGGAATTACTTCCTCTTTTGGACAAGATAAGTGAATACAAAAAAAGAAAAACCAAACAAACGTAGCCGCTGTAACTGACCATGTGTACATCCTTCTTGTGATACTGTGCTGTGAGGTATGTGACCAAGTCTGTCAGATGTCTTAAGAGGATATTATCCTAACATGGTGTTTACTCCAGATTAACGCAGTATTTTGTTTGGAAATATGTAGGTGTACAGATAAAGTGTGAGAGATAAAGTTACCTTTAAAGTTGATGAAACAAGTGTTGGACATTTCTATATTTTTATATATTTCAAAGGGCATTTTGAAATTTTCTTGCAGTTTTAGTAATTATTTAGTGTGGT